AGATCCAAGTCTATCAGAGCCAGTTATAAAGTAAGCATTAACTATTAATCAAAATCTTCTATTAAAATGTTAATAATAACAAATATATTTTACTTACAGGAGCCTGCTGAAATTTTGGCCAAAAACCCATAGTCCCAAGGAAGTAATGTTTTTAAATGAATTAGAAGAGTTACTTGATGTTATTGAACCTGCTGAATTTCAAAAAGTTATGGTGCCGCTATTTGGACAGATTGCAAAGTGTGTCTCTTCACCACATTTTCAAGTTGCTGAAAGAGCGCTCTACTATTGGAATAATGAATATATTATGTCATTAATTGCGGACAACTCACAGGTTATATTACCAATAATGTTTCCGGCGCTAAATCACAATTCCAAAACACATTGGAATAAAACAATACACGGACTGATTTATAATGCTTTAAAGTTATTTATGGAAATGAATCAGCGATTGTTTGATGAATGCAGTAAAAACTATAGGCAGGATAAACAAATGTTAGTAGTAAATGATGGCGCTTAAACATTAAATATGCCATTTAAAAAGTTATATACATATATGAACTCGTAAATATAAATGCTTGATTGACTTATTTGCAGGGAGCACGAAAAACGGTCACAACGTGATGAACTGTGGCAACAAGTTGAAAATTTAGCTAAAAATAATCCAGAATGGCCAAAATTATGCGGTCAATTGGATAATTTAAGTATTTCAAGTAGTCAAAATGAGTTCGATCAATATAACGAGAATTGTGATTTAACATATAATAAAATGGAACAAGAAACTAGACAGCAGCAAGCACCGCAGGAAGTAAGAGAGGTGAGTAACAACGCAATCATATATAATATTTTATAAGGCTAAACGTATTTTGTATATATTAAATAATTAATTGTTTGTAATAATTTCTAACAAAATACAAAATTAATATGCACCTTTTTCTGTTGTATGCAAACTTCACCAAATATGTAAATATGTATTAACTTCTAAAGCTTATATATTTAATGTTTAGTATAACAATAAGAACACTGTAAATGCATATATGCCACACCAACAAAAACGCATGTAATATTTAAACTCATATTAATTTAATAATAGATAACAAAAAAGTAGAAAACTAATTAATAAATTACGTTTTTATAAATGCAAATTTGATTTAAGTATTTATATATATATTCAGATTGTATATGTATACTGTTTGTTGCTTTTATAATAACACATTCGAAACTAATTTTAATTTTTAAAGGTTAATTGTAAAATATTTTTTAAAAACCTATTTGATTTATTACAGTACTACTTATTGTGAGTGCTTTGATTTCTATTGTACTCTTACTCATACTTATATAGAATAGATACTTATTACTTGTAAATTAATCTTTTCTATTTTTTGCTATAGTACTTATTGTTAAACTTAAATTTATTTTTTTTTCTCTTTTTTCTATATATTTTTTTTATTACTCATAAGCGTTTACTGATTTCATTTTTTAACTAGTGGTGGTTTTTTAAAATTTATTAAATTTTAATTTAATAATCACAATTTCATTAGTGGAAATGTATTACATATGATAAGCAAATAATATTACTGCCAAAAATTTCCTTTATTAGAGATCAAAATTTTCTATTACATAAATGTGTTTCTAATTAAGTTCAGCTTATATATATTATATATTTTGCGGTATACCACTTTTCTTTTATACATAACATATATATATAAATATACAAAAATTAATTTTAATATTTTTTTTCTAATTTTGTAAATTGTTTTATTCGTAACTATTAATGTTTCCTGTTTTCTTTTAGAGTTATCAAGCAAGAACTCATTTAATAGTTTAAAATCAGAAGTGCATTATCAAAAAACAATCTAAACGTGTAATTATAATCACATAATGTATATTTTAATTTTCTTGATATGTTAACCTTTCATATTTATCTATTTTGTTATTTATTTCTGTTTCTAATATATTTTATGTAGTATAAAAAAAACTAACAAAGCTTTGGATAAAAATAGCTAGCGTGCTTATTTAAATTTTTTTCATTTTCATATTGGTTTATTTTTATAAAATGTACAAAAATCATAAATAAAATTCAATATTATATATATAAATAAGAAACAAAAAAATATATATATTTTTATGTACAAAAGTTAATATAAAATATTTTGATCTTTGTATATAATAGCATTTAACAGGAGTATATCTGAAAAGTCAATTTTTTATATATATTTTTAATAATAATTTGTTGTTGTAATATGAAGATTACAGGCAGGAAACATGAATGAATTCCAAGATAAATTTGTACCCATAGGTTGCAATGTGGTGTGGAAAGGAAATGAGAGAGGGCGGATGTATGTGTGCGTTGAAGGAGGAATAAGGATTTGACTGGGTGCTAATTAAAAATAATTTGTTGTTATATGGAAATTATAGGCAGGAAACATAAATGAGTTTCATGATAAATTTGTACCCATAAGTTGAAATAGGGTGTGTGGGGAAGTAAAGAGAAGACGAAGGTAGGAGGAATGAGGGCTTGAGTGGGTGCTAATTAAAACTAACCTGAGTTAATGTAAAGGAATTCTGTCACTATAGAGGAACATAGACATAAATCAATAAAGCTAAAATTAGCTCGTTATTTGGGTTATGAGAACAGATAGGTAACGATAAGTAAAGTAAAGTTACAGTTGTAGAATTGACGTAATTATACCTGACAAGTAATTATTTATCACGTAGCAATATCTTCAACTAAGCTAATACCTCTAATAAATATTTTGAATTATGTTCAACAATGTATTTAATATATAAAATATGTATACATATATAATTTACAATATATAAGTTTATAATTATATATTTAATATATGTAAACATGTAAAAATATATAACATACGTTATTTTTACATAAACATATATTGAATGTATATGCCAAATGATTTCATTTAGCACTTTTCACAAGAATGATTAGGATATAATGTTCATAAACTTGATTATAAGACATTAACTTGCAAATACTTAAATCATTCATAACCAATATTAAGATTATTTTAGAAACTTCAGAACGTAGTTGACATTTCATTAAGTAATAGTATAATTATTGTCCTCAAATGCTGATCGCAGAAGTATGGTTACTTCCAATTTCCACAGTCCCTATAAACATAAAGTATAAAATAGTTATTGAAAGCATCTATAAAATTACAAATACAATTTAGAAAAAGAAGATCAAAATATTTTATATGATACCAGTAAAATATAATATATATACATATATATATTATTATGTATATATATAATAATAATATTTTGTTAGTAATATATTTTTGAAATATGTAACTTTTTACTCATTTATAACCGTTTGAACCAACTCACCACTGCAATATCCGCTGTCTGAAAACTAATAGAAACGAGGGGAACGTAATAAGGATAAGCCGCTTTTGCGAAGAAAATCAGATTTGCCAGCTGATTGTGGCACGGTTCGTGCACTCATTGAGCACAAGAGACCAGATGAGTTTCTAAAGACTACACCGGATATTAATAAGTGTTAGAGATGACATTTCGTGGCAAGTTGTACTTAGCTGGCAATGTTGAAAAATTATTCCGATAGCAAACGCAGGCGTTAAACATAAACAGAGTATATAAACAAAAATAATATATAAAGAAGTATATAGGCTTTATAGGCTTTATATGTTGAATACACACATTGGTTTCATATAATATATTGAACTTAAATTTTACAAAAAGTAAATCTACTGTTAAGTGCAGAATATTAACAACAAACTGTATTACTCGTAATAAATTTCTTTAAAAAATTCGAAGAAATTAAAAATTATTTGCTTATTTTATGCTCAAAATAATACTTAAGTGAGCAAGTTTGTTTTTTTTTTCTTTTAAATACTTTATTTAGTTTAACATAATTTAAGTTAACAATTGTTAAAGCAGCATAATATTATAAAAAATTTTCTTTAAATATATAACAATTTTTTTCACGTATATGTATAGAACATATTCTAATCTAATATATTTGAATTATTATTAAATTGAAGTCTTTATGCAGTATAATTTTTATTTGAAAGCAGAATTATACAAATCGTATATAAGAATAATATAGAAATGATTTATCAACAGAAATTTGAAATACAGTTAACATAGTTAAATATTTAAATATATGTATTTATATATGTTTTTATAAGTAATGTATATCGTACATCGTATATGTAATGTATACTAAAATAACACATAAAAAGCGATTATAATAAATAAATTTAATAATAAAAATTTAGTTAAACATATTTATAACATAATTTAAAAAAAGGATCAGCCAGGTTTATGATATCTGAAGCGATAATTAGGATGAGTGAACACCTCTAATCAATCATGTTCGAGCTTCATCTTTCACGCAAAAGGCTAAACAAACAGCCAGCTTAGAACGCAATCCAAAGCAAAATTATTCTAATAAATATAAGCTCTAAAAAATTAGTTAAATTATTTTCAATATACATAATGTCAAAATATATATGCTATGGTTTAAAAAATTTATGTGTAAAATTACTTACTGAAAATTTGTTTTAATAATGGTTTTATGCATGGAGCATGGATTTATGCATTTTATTACTACTACATTATTGTTATTTAATTATTATTATTATTATTATTTTTTTGTTCTAGCTTTTTTAAACTAATTAATGGCAAGTCTACTTCATAATTGTTTTATAAAGTTTCCTAAAACAAATACTTATGAAATAGAATTATGTATTATGTTTTTTATACTACAAACTGTAAAAGCTTAAATTGAAAAAATTATCAAAAAGCTTTTCAAGAATTGTTAATTGTAATTTTATCTGCACGAGAACTTAAGAGAAACTTAAAAAAATTTTGCAGATTACTAGTTTATATAAAAGCTGATGTGGAAAATGTTTAAAAGTATAAATCTTAATTAGAACTTTATAATCTATCATAAAACACAGAGCTCAATATCACTAATAGAATATGAATATGAATACCATCCTCTATAGTTCCTTTCGACTGCAGGAGGTCATAGTACATCAAATATTTACAAGCTTTTCAAATACAAACAAGATTTTCGGTTCATAAATATTTTATTTTAATATTAATACTTACGGTTTGTCGGTTTTAATTTAAATTGATTTTCGTTTAGGATTATATATTGTAGTCACAATTATTAGACAAACGCTCAATTTCTTCATATTTTAGTCCAAGGCCAAGGTCGTATTTCTCGAAGAAATTGTTACTGTGTAATCTCAATACAGTAACATTAACCCTGCTTACTTTTATCTTATTGCCATCCAATCTGAAAGAAATAAACAAATATCCAGTGTCGGTTATAAGATTTTTCATGTATGAAAACTGTGCATATATTTAACACATATATATTTAGCTGTGTTAATTATATTTATATATATATGTAGATAACATTATACTTATAAAAAATAAAATTAATAATTATATTTAATAACTTAAAACAACTTACTTTCACATTCTATTCATTTTGAATTTTAAGGTGGTAATGGTTATACTATCATTGAAAATACCTAGTCCCGAAAGCGCAAGTACTTCTTATTTTTCAATCGGAAAAATAGTGCAACTTTAATCATTTTCGTCCCCACACTAATTTTATAATTTTTTTACATTGACAATAAAATGTCAGAAAAACACAGATGACCAACCATGCGAGGTAAAAAAATATAACAGAGATCTTCTTTCTATTATTGGAGAACACCAAACTTAACATCGGGTAACAAAAAATGTAGCAGTAACATTACAGTTGCTGCTATTACCAAAAAAAATCAATAATAGACCCTATGGAAACATTTGGATAATCCACCAAGTTCTAAGAACGTTTAATATTTTGAATCTTTATACAGCTAGATCGCCGATTTGGTCTTGAAAATAATTTTGTTGAGACTGCAAGTACCAGGAATCGGACTCGTGCCCGCCCTGCCATCTTCCTTGCAGTTTTTATACTTCTTGTATTGCGCCACTAAATGTTCAATTTTAAACCGCATTAAACAATTTTCATACATTTTTTTCATAGTTTCTCATAGCAACGTTTCACAAAAATTCGCAGTTTTGGCATCTGTAGTGTGCCACGGCGTAAAGTGAATTTTAAATTCGAATTCTATATGTTTTCTTTTTTTAATATTTTTCCACGTTTCGCTTTTCAGAATTCTTATTCTCATCAAGATTTGATATTTACTAGTCTTTTCAATAAAATTCGTTTTTGCACAATTAATTCATTCTACAATTCATTAGTGATAAACTTTTATGCAATATACACGTTCTTCAGTGTAGAATACATTGTGTGGATTGACCAGACTTTTGAATATATGTATTTAATTTATAGCACAATTTTATTAAAATAAATAAAAGAGAAAAATATGTAAAAACAAATCTATGCTAATAGTCATATAAAGCAAAGCTGCCGACCCTACTATACAAAAGCTACAAGTTGCTCAAAGTCAGGCACTCCGAAGGCTCTTCAAACTGCCTTGGTACATTCGCACAAACGACATGCTAAGAGACCTTAGAATAGACTCGATCAAAAAATACATAAGAGACAGAGCCCTGAAGTTATATGCGAAAACTTACAGGCTATCCTACTTAGCACTATATAATCTTAGAGTAATCACTCTACGCACGGGGAGATACGCAGATCTTAGATCAATCACTGAATAATCATGAAGGTTATAGGGAATACATAAATTAGTCAATGAGATGGGTGGGACCCTGTAGTACCCCCAGCTATCAAAGAGTAAAAGTGCCCAGTTGCGCTAACTCGAAAAAAGGATCAACATACATATAACATACAATTGTAAATTTAAAGTAGTAGTTGAATATTGTTAAAGCAAAATATATGAACCAAAAGTGGTTATGATTCTTCTCTGATTATAGTCATAGTTAAATGTCAATTATATTACCAAGTTTAAGTGCACTTAAAATTCACTAAAAGGGGGTAATTAAAAACCATCGATGCACCTAAATACATACTAATTGAAGATTCTTAAATTATCATAAATTAAAGTATTTTTTTATTTAATAATTAAATTCCTTAAAATAATTTCATTAAATAAATGCTCTTCGAAAAAGCTCAAATAAGAGCAATGACTTCTTGTATGTCAACTTGAATAGAAGAACATTCAGAACTGTTGCCTGAATGGTCTTAGTTAAATAGCGGAAAAAACGAAAACGCAAACGATTGACAAGTCAATCAGCTTAAAAAGTTAGTTGAAGTAGTTGAAATTAAAACATGATTTTTTGATGGAAAAGACATTTGTATTAAAATTAACATACTATCGAAAACTATCGATAGTAATCGATGGTTTAGAAAAAAACTATAACTCACTATCGATGGTGCCGACTATCGATAGTTCTCTACCTATAGTTTCAGCTAGCCACCGTGTAAGGCTTTTAACCCATTAAGGCAAGCTTTAAAGTGTTTCTTCAGCAGCTTTGACAGAAAATCGTTAATTACATCAGGTTTCTCAACGAATAACGGACTAAAGTTCACAGATTTAGTTTTTAAAAGGTTAATAAAAAAATTATATTTTGAGAAATACAAATTTCGTGTCTTCAATAAACTTGTTACGAATAAATAGATAAGCATTTCTGCTTTAGGCCAATGTTATGATTGCACGCCACGTCACAGGAATTGTTGTTATTTTCAATTCAAAATGAATGAGCTGTCAGTGTAAAATTTTCATTTTGTATTGAAGGTAACAACATTTGCCGTGACGTGAGTGCAATTATAACATGCACCTTAAGTCCATGTTATGTAGAGTGTCATGGGCACGTCAAAATTGACTCTTTCGAGTTATAATGAAGAAAATGCATGTTATGCAGAATGTCATGGTAGTTTGCCAATTTCAAAATTTTACTATTACTTTTGTACTTTCTAGTTGTGTCTAAATTTTAAAGGAAATATATACAAACATACATACGCCACGGCTTTAATTGAGTGACGAGGCACAGATAACCTCGGCTCTCATGACCGAATTTAAACCGACATGAGTTTTTTTCTGTTACTCTCGGTTTTTTAATTTACATTAAAAGCAATAACAATTTTGATTTTGACGCGCCCGTCATGAGTCTTAGATATCTTTTCCTAAATTCTCCTCATTTCCCGGGCAAGAAGGAGAAAGAGAAAAGACATAACTATATTTTTGTCGCACATAGTTCTTACTCTACTTGTAGTCCTCTAAAATTAAATAATTTGTCCTATAAATATAAAGTTCATACCTATTTATAACTATATAAACCACAAAAAGGGACAATACGGAATTATATGGTGTATATCCATCTTCCATCTTATTTAGAAAAACCAATAAACTTTCTATTTGTTTGAGAAATTGGAATTGAATTAAGGGACTTGAACTTTTTGTTTGACGTAACTTTTTGTTACTTAATGGCACCAATTTTATGACAAAATAAATATAATTGCGAATAATCATATGACTTTAGATGCCTCTTTACTGATTACTGATTACCATCAGTAATCATATAAATTCCTTTAGAAAAGTTTGCTCCTGCATGAGGAATGAGAAATTGTGTTAAACATATTGTTTTATTTAAGATTAAAGTTCATGCATGTTTAAGTATTGCTTTATAAAAAATAATATCGATTTTTATATATCAAATACAAAATATAAAAACAATATTCAAATCATTAAAAAATAAATAAAATAAATAAATTTTCTCTTATTTTTTTTTTTGCAGTGAAATATTTTTGTATTTTTAAAATATAATATTTAAGTTTTTATAGTTAAAGAAAAAAAATTAAACAAATAATATAAACTACAACAATATATTTTGTAAACATAAATATAAAAAATTATTAACTTATATGGAAAATAACTTATAAATTTTATTATTAAAATAAAGAATTTCATAAAAGCATATACTGATCAACCAAATAAGAATTTATTGAAGCAAAAAATATTTGTATTTGTCAACCTGTTGTATTTTATTAAATATTGCGCCTCATTAAGAGCCGTGATTTGACACGCCTATACATTTATTATTAAGAATATTATAAAGAAAAATTACGTTTAATGCAAAATTGAAGAAAACGAAATTAATATAAACATGAGTAAAATACCTCGTATGCATTATAAATATTATTATTAATAATTATAATAAGAGATACACATATATGCCTGGATGACGAATGCCTGGACTACGTGTCAAACTAACTAAGCACAAAATTCTAATATGCGCGCGCAGGATATTTTAAATGGCATTAGCATTGGAATGGTGTGCTGACTCTTGACTCTTGACTCTCCGACTCAACAGATGTTGAATGTTTTGTAATCAAATTACATATATAGTTAAAAAAGTAAATAAATAAATGAATATTGTACATGTTTTTCTTTTTTATAAATTGAAAACAATTTTTATAAATAACAAATAACAAAGCATAAATATAATTTTATTATTAAACAAAAACAAATTTTAAATAAAGAACAAGCTTTGTGCATTAAGTAAAATAAAAAGTTGAATTTAATCAAAAACTATTTTTAAAATCGTCTTTTAATATACATATAATTTTAATATGACAATATAGATGGAACTTATTGCTAAAATAGATAGAAGGGTCAATTCGGCATTTTTGAATGTTTTGTTTCATACTCTGATGTTATTTTAACAGGTGTTAGAACTCGAATTGCACACAAAAGTTTTGAGCAAATAAGCCATGAACCTATACCACCAATTTTCTACAATTTTTTTGAATAAAGGCTTCCAAACACAAATACATATGTTCGTTCTATCGACGTATATCATACAATCTACGAAGCCATGTGACCCTCTATTCTGGAAACAATATGCTTTAATAACTCATTGAAACCAAAAGCATATTTCTCATATATGGAATTGTAAATCGTTGTTTGCTTTTCACAGTTGCATAGTTGCTTTTCTTGACTTTAGAAAAAGTATAGCCTTGATAGTTAAGGCTATGCATCGATAGTTAATTAATCGTTTTTTAACGTCTACTTTAACAAAAAGCAAAATAAATCTCAGTCAATGAAAAGGGTTAAGCAAACCTCTATCAATTTTTTTTTTCAAATTTTGAAAAGGTGTACACAAATCTAGTTTTATTTTATTATAAGGAAATTTGAGCAATAAACACATGTTCCGTCATATTTATGCCAATAAAGACAATTTATTAGGTGTTGTAAAAAGATTCATAATTTTCCCAATAGATGACTTTTGTCATCTCAGCTTTAGTCAGCGTTAGAAACATGAGATTTCGTACAAGAGCGTTTGACAGTATGGTCATTTGAGCGTGCGTCAAAGATGGACATCAGCAAACAGAAAATATGCCATAATTTACAGTTTTTTTAATAAAGGCGAAAATCCAAGCCAGGCGGATGAAAATATAAATAGTGTTTATGGTCCTGCTACTGTAACAGTCAATCATGCGCAAAGTTTGGTTTCGTCAGTTCCGTTCCGGTATTTTCTATGCCAAAGATACACCACCACGTATTGGAAGGCCAACTGTCGAATATGGAACACTGTCTCGATTGCCCAAGAGATAAAGATTGCATAAAAACCATTTGGAAATATTTCAATAAGGTTGGATACAAAGAGTTAACGTAAAAAAACCTTATGGATCGAATCTCCATCTGGGAATGGAGATGTTGAATGGCAACATCTCGACCCATTTTTGAAACGATTAAGAAATGAAGTGGTGTTGAAAAACGGATCACTTACGACAACGTTTCAAAACGATCAAAACTGACTTAAGATTTAACGTATTATTCCTGCTCAAATGATTTTAATCGCTTAAAAAATTGTAAGAATATTACTTTGAAGTTTAACGACTTCAAAATTGTTAACTCAATAGAAATAATATTAAGTAAATAAATCTGTCTAACAAACTGTGTAAATATTGTAATTTAAGTATTGTAATTTTTTCGAAAATTTGCTTTAAACTGTAAACCAAAGCAAAAACTGTTTTAATATTTATTTTATTATATTATTAATAAGGATATTACAAACCTATTATCACATTTACATTTTCCATCAATTATAAATACTATTTATATTCCATTATTATAAATTACATGCTGAAGGTTTTTGTTTTTTCACATTAAATCATTACATATATATATAAAATTGCATAAATTGCAATGAAAGGTTTTAATATAATATTAAATATTTAAAAATATTGATATTGTATTATTTACAAAAATAGTTTGTGACCGAATTTTCAATATAAAAATAAATATTAACATAACATTAAATAAATTTGCTTATAATTATTTTTCACACGTCTTATATATTTAATGCATAAAAATTATTAAACTAAAAAGTCTTTAATATAACTCAGTACACTTCATATTGCTGGCTATTATTTAATAAACAGCAATAAAATCTTCCATTTTATATTATTTTATACTAAACCGTTTAACTCAACAAGAAATAAAAACAAAAACTACATACATAAAAATAAACATGTGTTAAATAAAAAGATGGAAATAAATAATTTAAGTATATCTATTGAAAATTTGGCATTTATAAGGATTCATAAGAAGGTTATATATTCTAAATAAAAATTAAACATCTACGAACTATTTGTATGGTTTTTTTTAAGGTTTACAAAAAGTATTTCTATTTTTTTTTTTGTTAATTCAGTCGTTTTGACTGATTCTAAACTTCCCTTGCACATTTACTTTACTTATATTAAAATTTGTCTGTAAGTCCACGAGCTTTTATAGAAAACTCATTAAGGTGATTCTGTAGAAGACGTTTGTTTACTTTTTCTCTGCAAATAAAAATATATAATTCCCACATAGCACATAAAAAGTAATTAATAAGAAGTCAAACGCTTACCTAATTACATGCGAAACAAATTTCGATTTTTCTGTTTCATCCACTATAGGAGTTGGAAAATTTTCTACACGCATTACTGCCTTCAGCCAGGTGGCCATTTCAGCAGGATACTTTTTATTAATTGCCAAAAATATATCAGCGAACTTATCTACTTGCTGTCGTGGCGTTATACAACCAACGCATAAAACAGCTGTGCGTAAAATTTCTTCACCAGCATTGAGCATAGTTTGTGTCATTCCTCTGAAGAATCTCGATGTCATCACAAAATGTGAAATGAATTGTACACTTGTGCGTATTGGTCCATTTTCAGGCAATGTCATAGCTTTAAGTGCATAAAATATAAGCTTATCGTAAGAAATGGCTTTGTCATCTAATGATTGCGGAATCTTTTTTAGAAGTTGCGTCAAGCAAGCATAGAACATTTCTATAATTTCAGCAATATTTGAAAACCCATTTTCAGGTGTATTCTGAAGAGAAAGGAAATGTAATTAATTTTGTTTTAACACTAAACATTATTTCTATGTAACTTACTTCAAATTGCTTAAAACTATGTAGAACGAATTCCACCAGAAGCTGCTGCATCAAGGATGTACTGCTTTCGTCCTTATAAAATAATAAAATAGCCTAAAAAAACAAAAAAAAAGGTCATTTTAAAAACAAGTTTAATTTTAAAAGCAACTTACAGTTTTAGATATTTCTAAAGTAGGTGCACAACACCTTGTTTGGAATATCGCTACAATGAAATAGCAAAGATCCTGCAACATAGGCTTAAAGCTATTTTTTAGGTTTATTATCGCATGTTTAAGGGCATTACAGGCAGTCTGAAAATATATAAAATTTATTGAATATTTGAAAAATTTGAAAACTTCCAACAAATGAATAAGGGAAACAAAAAAAATTGAGTGTAAAATTGACAGTTGAATAAATTGATAAAAATAAATAATTCTTCAGAAGAAACTGAAAAAAGTAGGCAACACAATCAGAAATGCACATGTGATGGGGGCATATATTGATATTGTCACCCATTTTGGACATTGTCAGTTTGATGTTGACAGGCATAAGTGTTTAAAGGTATCGTTGAATCACAGTTAGAGAAGTTCCTGAGGATGTTGGCCTATTGGTTTGCTCATACCATGCCATGTAGATTACAGATTACCTTAAAGGGAACAGAATAGATATTGACGAATAAACAACGATTTTTTAAGAACAAAGGTATCTTTTGAACAAACTTCGTATATTGAAAATGCTATACTTCATATTATTTTACGCATCACTTACAAAGTGTACCTTATGACACTATACAAGGGTTGTACGAACGGCCGGGTCTACGTCCCGAGCCACTGGTCGCCAGCGACGACAAAGTGCCGTTCAACACCTCTCAAAGGGAATTCACAAGCATGGGCCAACGGGTTACAACAACAACAACACAAGCATACAATAGCTACTAACAATAGTATAAGTTTAGTTTTGTTTGTCTTAATTCATGTTGTATTTCAACATAATTCACTTCAAAAAACAACTAGGCTCTTTTAACAATAGAAAAAAATATAACAAATTTTAAGGTTTATTCACCTATAGGAAGTAAATTTTGTTGAATTATGTTTTCCCTTTATAATAGACATTCAGTTTAGCGTTTTGATTTTTCAAAATTAAAAAGTCCCAAGCACAGCCCACGGGCCACATGCAGCCCGTGACATATTTTTAATCTACCACAATTACTCAAACTTTTTGGTGTACTGTAAAACCACATTATTTTATTTTTATAGTACAAGAAATAAATGTTTATATTAACAAATTAATAAAACTAAATTTAAGATTATAACCGAATTTTTATTGTTATCGAAAACAACCATGAATGTATGTATTTGTTTCTGCGGCCCTCCAATCTATATAGTGATTTGTATTGGCTCGCATCGTATATAGTCTGGACAGCCCTGATCTACAGTATAATCGATTGTTTTGAAAAACTTTAGTCTACTATCGATAATCGAGACTAAATAAGGTGATCAAAATCAATGGCATCGCAATCCCTGGTCTGAAGGCTTAATTAGAAGAATTTCGTCGACTTTTTCGATTCAAAGTGTTAATGCTTCGTGACTCTTGTATAGTCTTGTTATCTGACAATATTACTGTGGACTTCACAAGTCCACAGCAACAAATCTAATAGAAAAAATAACAACTCTAAGCAGTTATTCAATTGATGACAAGTAATATTGAAATAATAATGTTGTCAATAATTGTAAAATTTTTGCTAAGGATAAAGCCTTCAGCAAGTTTTTAAGTTCCAGTATATTATTTTTTACAATCTAACAACTTTATTTAAGACGATGTTAGTTATAGCACCATTATTTTTAACATCATAATAGGAAAACAATATTGTTTTGGTTATTATTTTTACCAAAATCATTAATTAGCGTTACATAATAATTCAATTGAGTGTAGTTTTTTTTTTAACATTAAAATTGATCTTAAATATAGTGATACTGAAATTGTGAATAACACTGAATATTTAATTTATACATAATAATATGATGAAAATCTTGATCAAATGTAACTAGCATTATGGTAAAAAACAACATAAATACATCATAAGTAACCCAATGATTTCATAATGTTGCTACAGCTCTACAACACTTTCATTACAATGTACTGGCTTTTGTATTATAATAATCTTTTAAAGTCCAACTCACCTCCAAAACTTCTAATTCATCAACCCATACTTCTGCTATTAATCTGAATATAGGCATCGTTTTTTGCATTACAATAAGCACCGGTTGCATACTTTGCATTTCATTGATTTGGTTGTCATCATCCACATCAGTATTTAGCGACGAGAACAGAGTAGCTATCATGTTTAATTGGAATATTGTTCGAAGACGTGCTGAAGCTGTTTTCTATTGAAAAGATCTATATAAATAACTATGAATTAAACAAAACTGTATATTATTTACTGTTTCACTCTGGCATATAGCATGTACTTCTTCGAAACATGGACTCACGATCATATCCAAATAATTGGGTATTTTTTCTGCTGGTAACAGGCTCATTAATTTACCAATACTATACATAAGACGTACACAGTCTGTATTTTTCATTTGTCCTCTTGATAGAGATGGTTGACAAGCAAGCAGTAAGGCCTCAGCAAAAGGTTTCATTTGTAATTGACAATCACGACAAAGTTCTTTCAAGCCTAAGGTAGCCTGAGCGGACATAGAAGAATTAAGACCGCGTAATAGTAACTCAATAGCAGGTTTTATATAATTTGGATTCTCCTGTAACCATTGGCAATAAGCACCCACAGTTTCTAATGATGTACCCAATAATTTTTCATTTAGATTATCATATGGTATTTCCGAAAGCACACGCATAAGTTTAGGTATTTGAACGTTTTCTTCACCACCAAAATGTTCTGCCACTGATTGAAATGAAAAAATACATGCTTCCAATTTAGTCCATTGTGTTGGATTATTTTGCATTTCGCCCAAAGTTTCATCTAGGACAGCAGCAAGAATATCCAAAATATAATGGTGTAGTACATCATAACAATAAATCTAAAACATTTAAACAATTTAAACATTCAATTTTAAAAATACACTAAATTTGTTGAATGCACTTACAAATGTATCCGAAATGTCTTGCCGATAGCAGCGAAAAGCTTCCAAATCATCAGACGACCACTTATGAATTGAAGTTTCATCAGGTTGCTCTGCCTTTCGTACCAGTATACGAGTGAGATGAGCATACAACGGTTTTATAAACTCCCAACATTTAATACGTTCTTCAGTGTTATCCATGGTTAATACTTCATCTTGCAGCAAATACCAAAATCCCATTGCCATGTTACTGCATGATTCCTCAACTGGATATATACCAGGTTTATCAGTACATTGTAAAATTTCATGCACCAGACGTCTATATAGATCTGACAACTCAGAATCAGTTGTGGTTATTCCACTGAGTAGTACTTGGGAATGGCGCTCAACTGCAGATACAAATAGTGTATAAATATGAACCACAATATCTTCATTATTATTATCACGTTTCCATTCATTTTTAGTTATATTGCATAGAGAATCCAAAAACATTTTTATTAATAAAAGCGCTGTTTTAGGATACAAATGACAGTCAGGTTGTATTATAATATTTTGCAATGTCTTTAAGCTAATCTCAGCCAATTCATTTTCATCTGCTGACATACAACCATCACCATCAGGATCTTGTACACATGACCAATAACATTTATTTACAATTTTTAATAATATAATTGTGATATTTTGGCAACTTTCAATTGGAAAACCAACATTTCTAAACATTATAAAAATAGAATAAAGGAGCTACTATGTAATACGTACTGATTTTCTTAATAATAAAAAAGTGGTTAAGAATTGCAATTATGTATGCCAAAAAATTTAAATTTTCATGAGGCTCAATATCAAATCAATAATACACTTATATATATTAGTAAAAAAAAAATACAGTTTCTTTGGCAGAAACGATTACAGTTCTCAATCGTTGAGATATACATTATAACTCACTTGACCCAACTAGAAATACATTTTACTGTACGAATCATGTTTATAAAGCTTTCCATATCCCATTCCTGCTCTAATTGTGATTGCAAATAGGTTTGTGTAGTTTCCATTACTAAAGGAGCTCTTATAAAAACTTGAGCTCGCAATGTCACGCGTTTCACTGATGTATAGACTGCTTGCATCTACATACAACAAATATTTATATTATGTCGCGCTATCAGTGCAGAATTGTATACTACCTCTTCGGGTATTGCTTGTAGAATTTCAAGCATAATCCATAATTGCATTTCTTTGCTCACATTTGGTATTTGTTGATTCTGAAATGTGTTTATAACATCCTCTATTGCTGTGGGCCATTCATTGAACATATGCAATATAAAAGCACTTAGCTAAACAAATTTTAAAGTATATTTTAATAAGCAACACACTGAAATCTATTTTTTTTTTACTCACCGCTATACATAAACGGTTTAGAACCAATTTTGGACCTGCAGCAAATTGTACTATCTTTTCTAATATTTTTTGTTTGAGTTCTTCACGACTTTCTGGCGGTACTTCTTGCCAATGCTTCATTAATTTGGAATGTAATGTCATTGCACCGAAAAATTGCACTTCTTGAGTCTAAAAAGATATTTTGAGAACATACACAGTCTCTCTACCCAGTCTACGCATTTTTCATTTAATTTGTTTACCTTTCCTATTTGCATTAATAGCCAGGTAAATTGCCACGCTTGTGGACTCGCTTGTGCTTTTGTTAGCCAATCATGTGTGATGGCCTGCTCTTGAGAAGTGGACCGATAAAACTGGATAACTGCTTCTTCAAGTCGTGTTATATCGATGGAATCCATTTTGCTAGATATGAAGAACAACATATTATTAAACACACAAATTTAAAATGTTGTTAAAATCTTATTAACAACAAAGTTTTTGGGTTATTAAGCTTTAGGAGATAGTATATAGATTATTTAATCTGCTTAATTCATATTACTGCGTATTACTACAATTCATATAACATTGCATATGAACTACACATAACTTACATTTTATTTTTTAACAATATTAATTTATTTATGCTAATGCAACTTAAATCTAAGGAGGTCGAGATTTTTCATGCAACTTTTCGGATCACTTAATAAGAATGTCAATTCACAATAAAACATTTTGTTTGCTTAACGCCAGCAAAAGCAACTTTTTTATGTATGTAATGTATGATGTATGACATGAAAAAAAATTATAGTTGCAGTCCTCTTTTAGATTTTCCATAAAAATAGATAAATCTAAAAAAAAAGTTAACCTAAGTTGTAACAGTTAAGTTTTATGTTTTTTAGCTATGTTACATCTTTTGGATTATTATATATTATAAGGGTATTCTGACATAGTTTGGTAACCTGGTATTCGGTAAAGTGATAAAATGTCAAACCTGAAAAATCCTTTTTATTTCTTTCTCGGTAAAGTTGGAAAGCAAAAAAATTTTTTTGAATTTATTTTTCGACCTGGTTATTCAAATGGTTTTTTATATAATTTTATTTTGGCTGTAAGTCCCTTCTTGTTAAATAATAAATCTTTAATATTTTTTATTAAACTCTGTCTCTGATTACAATATAGACGATAGAACAAAGAAGAGGACGTTTATAATCGTAATCCTGATGATGACTCTCAAGGAGACTCAAAATGTAGAGTTATAAAATATAAATATAAAAGTTTTGTTATTTAACAAGAAGGGACCTACAGCCAGAATAAAAATATATTAAAAAAACCGTTGTAAAACAACATTGAACACGATAATGCTCCATTCTGAATTTAAATTGAATTTCTTATATCTTTTGGCTATGATAAATAATATTATTTTTACCATACAAGAAACGTCAATTATAAATTAGTATAATTTGGCTGTTATTTGAACTGAATAAATAAAACTACAATCTAATAAAAGTAATTTTTGATATTAAAAAAAACTACAACAAAACTCCCGAAAAGTTTATAACAATATAATGCTGGATTTGGCCAATTTGCTACATGGAACGAACAGGACGACATGCCTTTAATATTCTTGAATAACATTGATGAAGACCAATGCTACTTTTAATGATTATATTGTGCTTGACAATTATATTTGTACGTTAAGCTTTCTTACAGAGTACGATATTATTAAGTGTTATAGCTCTTCCACAAATGAAGTAGAAGACTCATTCGAAATTCTGAATTTTTATTTGCAAACGAATGACACTACAACTGATGATCACTATGAGACTAAATAAACAAATGAGATATAAATTGGAATCTCTTTTTACTGAAAATAAGAAAAATATAATTAAAATCCCAAACCCTGATTTCCGAATATTTTACACCACTATAACTTGTGTACTGTATTTGATTTCAAATAAATAAATATCTTAAAATGTAATTGTAGTTTCTATCAAAAATAAAAAAAATTCTCTAACTCGAAGTCTACATAAGTCGAACCTTTTCTTTGCAAAAATGGTACTTCGTGTTATGGAACTTTGACTGTAATTTATTTTATAAATACTTAAACTATTTGTAATGAATTAATCAAAGAAGCATATAATCTATAGCAAGGAATACCACTCAAAGAACGAAAACTCCACCCACTTCGAGGGTAACAGTGAGAAATTGATAAAAAAAATTATTTTTTATAACAGTATATAATTATATAATCAAATTATATAACCAAATTTGGCAGGACACGAGATCGATATATGGTCAACCAGAAATTCAATTAATTAAAATAATATAAAAATGAATTTTTATTGTTGTAGATCATTACTTTTAGAAAAACCTTTATTACATAATTATAAAATATATTATTATTATAATCTCAATGTGAACATAAAATGAACGCTTACTAATATTTAATAATACAGGAATGGTAAAATACTTTTGCAAAACGTTTATATTAGAAATGTGCATGAACTTAAGTAAAAATTTCATTTTATTGTGTGGAAATTAAAAAAAAATTAAATTTTTAAATCCTTTAATACAATATCACCCCATTTTAAAATTTAAAAATATTTTTTGTTTACAAAGTTTATTCATTATAATATAATATAACAGCAAAATAACTACTAATTTGTGTGTTCAGTACATATTTTTTTTAAAGTACTTACGCGGTATATTTTTACATTTTGGCGCAACGAAATTTTATATTTTTCTCAAAAAATCAAAACAGAGACATAAAATTACACTCTTTCTTACGCTCATAACTCCTTCAGAAGTTTCACGGCAAATTGTTGTTGTACGAAAAACAATTTTAGTTCACAATAGAGTTGCCGTTCTTGTAAGGTATTCTTTGAACTGTGTAACCATTCACAATAACATAAAAAAATGATTACAATTTTAACAGCATTTTAGCAAAAAAAAAATCGAAAAGATTCATTGAATTCAGTGTTTTACTTGTATTTTGTATGGCGGAATGGCCTCACAGCTATTTTTTATAAAAATGTATAAGCTAAAAAATAAATATAGATTCTAAACTAGTTTCCCTATTTATTGTAATACCTTCTGTTATGCAGATCCCGCTTATCTTATTACTAATACGAGTATTTGAGATGTATTAAGTGTTGGCAACTTTAACAGGTAAAAACGGCTGACGTATAGTATGAGGAGAAATATTATTAATAAAACCACCAATTTGTAAAGGAAGAGGAATATTAATATAAGAATAAATAAATATTTAAAATTTGGCTATAACTATTCGCAACAATATTAATTTATATAGAAACGACTGCGCCAGCTCGATTGCAATGTCATCTTCAGCAATTTATGTTTTAGATGTGAAGGGAAAGGTGCTGATTTCTCGAAACTATCGTGGAGACAATATGGATATGGCTGTAATAGACAAATTTATGCCTTTATTGATGGAACGCGAAGAAGAAGGACTTATAACTCCAATACTGCAAACAGCTGACTGTACATTCGCATATATTAAGACAAATAACTTGTACATTGTTTCCACTACGCCACGGAATAAAAATGTTAACATAGCATTGGTGTTCGTCTTTTTGCATAAAATAGCTCAAGTTTTTGTTGAATATTTTAAGGAATTGGAGGAAGAATCTATACGCGACAATTTTGTTATTATATATGAATTATTAGACGAACTTATAGACTTTGGTTATCCCCAAACCACGGACTCCAAAATTTTACAGGAATACATAACGCAAGAAGGACATAAACTTGAGTTACAACCTCGAATACCGCTCGCCGTAACCAATGCGGTATCTTGGAGATCAGAAGGTATTAAATATCGTAAAAATGAAGTTTTTCTAGATGTTATTGAATCGGTTAATTTGCTGGCCAATGCTAATGGAAACGTGTTACGAAGTGAAATTGTGGGTGCAATCAAAATGCGCGTATATTTATCTGGTATGCCTGAGCTGCGATTAGGTTTGAATGATAAAGTACTCTTTGAAAGTACTGGGCGTGGAAAATCCAAATCTGTAGAACTCGAAGATGTTAAATTTCATCAGTGTGTACGTTTATCACGCTTCGAAAACGATCGTACAATATCTTTCATACCACCTGATGGCGAATTTGAGTTAATGTCATATCGTCTTAATACACATGTAACCAATTAAGCATAATTTTTTTATATAGCACTAAATGAATTTTAATTTATATTACAGGTTAAGCCATTAATTTGGATTGAATCCGTTATTGAACGCCATGTACATTCACGAGTAGAGTATATGATTAAAGCTAAATCTCAGTTTAAACGTCGTTCAACTGCAAATAATGTGGAAATTGTTATACCAGTGCCAGCAGATGCTGATTCTCCGAAATTCAAAACAACAATTGGAAGTTGTAAATACGCTCCTGAACAAAATGCTATAATATGGACCATTAAATCCTTTCCTGGCGGCAAGGAATATTTGATGCGAGCACATTTTGGCTTACCAAGCGTAGAAAGTGAAGATAATACTGAAGGAAAACCACCGATACAAGTGCGTTTCGAAATACCATATTTTACAACATCTGGCATACAAGTGCGTTATTTAAAAATTATTGAAAAAAGCGGATATCAAGCTTTGCCTTGGGTACGTTATATTACGCAGAATGGAGACTATCAATTGCGCACTAATTAGAGACAATTAGAGTTTTTTAAAGCATGTATAATGTGCCTACGATTTTTTTTTTTTTTGTTATTATGAATAAGCATTTATTTGAACCAATTTTCTTAAAACCACAATATAATTTTAGAATAATTTTTATGGTATAAATTACTACAATCCGCAATTCAATCTTAAATCAAATTAAAATTGTTATCTTTTAATCATTTCCTTAACACTCTAATATAATAATAATCATTTTGCTCTTAGTCATTTTATAATTTTTCATTCATTTATATGTTCTTTTCAAATTATTCAAAATTATTGTAATTGAAATCTATGAGTAATACCACTTCATTCCATATTAATGCTGGGCATAAATTTTTCGTTGCTTGTGATTTTACAAATAGTTACAGATTTAATGATTCAGAGCAGTTTATTATATCTGCAGAATATAATAATATATTAAATATATTTCGTAATTGTGGTAAAATTTTAGTATTATTTAAAAGTTTCAAATATATTTATTTACACATACATATATGATCAACAATTGTTTCGTTACTTGGTAACTAAAAAGCATAAAATAAAACTTATAATTAATAAATGCACTTTAGTTAAGTCTAGAATTTTTCATATTTTTTACATGAGCTTCAAAATATCAGGTAATTTTTTCCACTTTATACCATTAAGCTTTAAAATTTTTAACAGGATAATAGTCTTTATGAGCTTGAACATGGTTGTCCAGTTCCTGCATTTGTTCTTTTAAATGTTGTGGCATTTCTGCATATACTCCCTCAAACATCTCTTTGTAACTGGGTTTCAACTTCTTTTCCGATAAAGAAATTTGCTTAAGAACTTGTTTACGTACATCTTTAACGAATTGTTTTTCTTCATCTTCGTTAAACCAACCTTTTCGTACCATATATTGTTTCAATTTTGAAATCGGATGTTCAACAGAGTTCCATATTTCGATTTCTTCAGCTGAACGATATGCCGTGCTATCATCTGAAGTGGAATGATGTCCAACGCTGAAAGAAACAAAACAATTAATGACAGATTTTAGGTTTCTTAATAAGCCTTATATCAGTACATACCGGTAAGCCATTGCTTCAAATATTATTGGTTGATTTTCACGTAAAACATAATTACGGGCCATTTTCATAGCATTATATACAGCAAAAACGTCTGTGCCATCAACACGTATTGTTGCAATTCCATAGGCAGGACCACGTGCAGCTATACCATCTCCTTTATATTGTTCATGTGAAGGTGTGGAAATAGCAAATCCATTGTTACGACTGTTAATTTAATTATTTATAATATAATAAAATAAACTGTAAAACTATGTAATATAATAGTTTTTAAATACCAGAAGAATATAATAGGACACTCCAATGTTGCAGCAAAATTAAACGCTGCGTGTGCATCTCCTTCGGATGCAGCTCCTTCACCAAAATAACAAACAACACATGAATCGTTGTTTTCATGACGTTTCATGGCATAAGCAGCACCAACAGCTTGAGGCATTTGCGTGGCTAAATAATGTTAACTTCTCATGATATATTTTTCCAGAAAATGCTAGTTTTACAAACATATTTTATTTTTACTTACAAAGTGGACTTGATATCGTGACGAAATTTAATTCCTTCGAGCCATAATGTACAGGCATTTGTTTTCCTCTAACAAAAAAAGATTTTATTTTAGTTACATTCTATTGAAATATGAAATGATTTATATGTTTTAATTTTAAAAAAATATTATTACTTTTATCCATACGCAGAATTTAGCAAACACTTTAATGGTTTTACCAAATAATGGAAAACTCAGCAAGAGTTTATGTTAAATACTGGAATATAAAAAAAAATGCAATAAATAGCACTAGAAGAAGAGGTACGTGAGGCTCCAAGGACGGCTAGGTCTACATCCCAGAGCCATTCGTCAACTACGACGACCAAGTGTCATACTTTATTTCCCAATGGGATTTTATAAGCAAATCCAAGCGGTTTAACATTTCACCACCTTACGAAGTCTAGGACCAAAAATTACAAAAAAATAAACACAAAAATATATGAGGAGAATTAGTTTATGAGGAAATAGTTTAAACAAAATTAAAGCAACATAGGTACTTAACTGGTTAGGGAAAAAAAAAGTAAATCGATCCCGACCATTAATATTATAATTATATTTTCTTCCATCTCTTTTCTCCTTCTGTATATTTTAAGTCCTCAATTCCTCCAACCGTAAATAATAATTAATTACAATTCTTCGCTACTACTGGGAGAAGCTATAGCTTAATTAGATTAAAATTGATGTTTTTAGAATAACACCAATGTATAAGTGGACGATGTCATACAGTATAAAGTCGTAGACAAAAACACGCAATATGTTCCTGTTACACGAAGAAAGGAGACCTGTTAAGAACTATATTCCAATAAAAGCATTTGTGGAATTTAGTAAAGTGTAAAAAATTCTACACCTTTAAATAAGGTAGTCAACAATACAATAATAATACAATTTTATACTGGAGTTATTTTTATTATTGTATTTACATGTGTATCTTTTATCGTAGTGAATGTAACTTCTTTCATCGCTGAAACCATTAGTACATACAATGGTAAACTTTCTGATTAATGTGATCTTTATGAAATCTATATAACATATTGATTTTTTTCCTGATTATAAAAGTGTTCTTTGAAGTATTAATCCTTGGTCAATACTCTTTTATATATATATAAAATATATGTATATATATTTTATATATATATATAATATATTGATTTGGGTTAATAGCTTATTGTTAATCTATTTGAGAAACATAATACAACAAGGGGAAACCATTTCAGCAAATTATGACTTTAAATATTATTTTTTGTCTGTTGACAAAACATTTTTTTATATTAATGATTTATTATTCTAATCTGAGAAAGATTCCAACCGGTCTTTACGAGAAACGAGTGAACCGTAAATACAACACAACAAATGATGGGTTTTATTTAAATAAAATATTGCTATTGTGTTATAATACCATTCATATTGGTTCATATTGAAAATTGACAGTGAAAATTGATTAAAATTGAAGTGGGATACATTTTACACAACGGTATATATTCACTTTAGTTATATATATATAAAATACAATATATATATAAAATATATATATAATACATATATAATATATATATATATAATATATATATATAATATATATATATATAATATATATATATATAATAAATATAAATATATATAGTTACAGCATTTGCATACGTGTCTTATAAAAACGTACGAAACTTTTTCTTTGCTTACCTGCCCACATCATCAACATTTCCATAACACTGATCAATAAATTGATTAATTTGAAAGCCACGCCAAACCAATACTCCAGCTTCTCTATACTGTCCATATATGAGATCGCGCATTTCTAAAGCAGCTGCACCTCCAATATGAGATGCTTCTTCACCAAAATTAGTCTAGGATTGTTTGTTAGTATTTATATCAATTTGGTTAATTTAACAAATACAAATGAGGATTACCATGTAAAAAGATATACGTCCTTGACGTTGCGATTCGTATAAAATTTTATCCATTGTATTTAATAACACCATATCGTTAAACATTTTTTGAACAGTTGCTTTATCTAATTGCGGATCCTGTGCTGAGTCAATAATACATCCATCACGATCCATAACGCGATATATTGGTATTGGCGCATAATCACTAGGCTTGGTAAGTGTTGGTTGTGAGACAAATGGTGCTTTCGCACCTGGAAACATGGATGGATGATCAGCAGGTACAGCTGTGCTGTACGGTTGTGGACTCAAACTCGTACAGGGTAGCTAAATTATGTTAACTATAAGACTATGAAATATTGTTAACACATTTCTTTAACCTACCACAACACTGCTTCGTGATGAGATTTCCGAATTATTAAAACGTGAAATGTATTTTAAAAGCTTTCTTGTGTGGCGAATATAAGACATCTTGTGTACTTAAATTGTAATTAAATTGAGTGGATTTATTTTTTAAATTGGTTTAATTAACTTTGCCGTCTATGCAAGTCGTGCTACCCAACCACGTAAAATATGAAACAGCTGTTGGTTATATAAGCTTACAAGGCAAGGAATAACTAATAAAAGTATATAAGGTAAATATGAAAATAAATATATTATTAAAAAATTTTTATTTAAACTATTGTTCTTCCTTTCTAGCTTATGTGCGAAACGATTGATTTGCTGATCCTCTCATAATTCATAACATCATCCGTTCTTGCTTTTTGCATTTTTTGTTGTGATCTGCAATTTCTACTCATTCACAATAGAATTTAATCATTGTAAATTTCCACATTTTTTTTTATGGTAACAAATATATGATAATAGAAAACTATGGAATAATAATAATATTAACTCATAAGCTTTACTTTGTTGTTAATTATTCATTTAATATAATAAGGAATGTATATTTCACGCTACTGAGTTTATTTCGTAGTAGAAACTCTGCTTTACAAGTGTTATTTGTTGAAGTTTTTTTTTATAAAAAGTAAGTTGACGGTCATAAAAATCTGTGGAATCAAACTGCGTGGCATGGCGGAACTGACAGAGGCACAATTTTGGCGTTGTATATTCATTTTAATACGAAATTACCATGCAGTCAATAAAAAAATATTTTCTTGCGTTATAACATGTGTAAAAAAAATTATTAACGAAAACAATCAAATACAAACTACAAATGTTACAAATGTTAGTAAGCAAAATGATGAAAGAACTGTATGCGATTCCACCATTGAAGAACTGGAGAAATATTTGGATAATTCTTCTTCGTCTCAAAGACGAGATAAATGTATAGGCTTCATTATCAATTACAAGTTGTTAACAAAGAAATTAGGTGATAACATCACAGCAATAGGGAAAATTGGTAGGTAGTTAGTTACTAACAGAATCAAGTTATAAAATCGTGTGTTTGTTGCTTTGCAGATTTTGTCAAAATCCGTTACACCTGCAATATGAGTGGCAATATATTTGAAGACTTTGTTGTCAGTTACGTTAATAGTGATATAGTTATAGAGATGTTAACACAACACTTGGATATTAACCGAACGGAACGTTGGATGACACAAGTGCTGAAACCTAAGTTGTTGAAATGGTGTCAAAAGTCTAAAGCTGATAACAGCAGCAACATAAGATCGTTACAAATGATAGACAATGAGTACTATAATGATTTATACAAAACATTGAAAATCAAATATGCTGAGAAGGTGATAAAGGTAAGGTATTATTTTCAATAAAAAAAATTGAAAAATAAATGCTGTTGAATGTTATAGGTATTTCTTGTTCTCACATGGAGTTACTTAGATATAGATACAAGGGGCTCCAGTTGAAACATTGATTCCAATTATACATTTTTTTGAGGAATTGTAAATTTATTTAGTCATATACTAATGTACACATAATGACTATGATATCATGTACAAAGCGAAGAAATCATTTTTAAAATTACTATTGTACTAAAACTGAGTCTTCTTACAGTTGAGCCGAATTTTATAAAAAGTAAAAGATTTGATATGGTACTGTGAAAGCATATTAACATTTTGAATAGTTTCCAAAAAATAACAACACATCCAGTAATATCTACCCGAAAACACACTTTTTTAGAATGATTCAGTATCTTTTTCAAGTCCACGGTTGCAAAGCATCAAAGTTCTCAATAGGGTTCGACTATCTATCTAAATCTATCTTAGCCAAATTGGGGTGAGGGTATAGTCATGTGCTCAATAGTTACTTGTCAGGCCTAAATCGTCAAATGCGCTATGTTGTCTCTCATCTATTCCTTATTTCAAACAACTCGTATTCTGTTATTCCTCTCACGCTTTCTCCAATTAAAATCGCCTCGGACTAAAGATCCATTCTTTATTTCTCATCGTGTGCAAAATATGTATATGTATATGTATATTATTTTGCTATATTTGTTGCTTATACAAGATGAATGCTAATATGTAAAAATGTTTCTTTCTGGCCTATTTTGCAAGATTTACCCATATCCAGTTAACGAATCACCTTGATGTATTAATTAGGTTTTAGTGTTAAGGCTGCCTTATTTCTAATACTGATGTTTACAATATATAATAATTAAAAACGGTAAAAATACAATGTTTAAAACACTTACGTTTACCTATTTTAAATTGTCAACAGTTATAAAGTTATTAAGTAAATTGTCTAGATATATGCCATATATTGCATATCAATAGTCAATAAGGGAGCACTGTAGTAATGCATAAAATGTATAACTTCATGTTATTGTTTTTAAACCTTATTATACGGATCAGGGACTTGGCTTGTAATGGAGAAAACTAAAAAGACACTACAAACTTTCATCAACCGCTGCTTTCGTAACATAATGTGGCCATTATGTCAAGAACGATATCAAATGAAGAACTCTAGAGACAAACTATCCAAACATCTATTAATATTAAAATTCAAAAGTAAAAATATGGGTGGATAGTCATAAGGTTTACCCTGCGTAAACCTTATGACGATATCCCGCTCGCAGCGCTAACATGGAATCCCCAGGTAACCCGGAGAACAATTAATATTGAAACTGGTAAATCGTTTAACGAACTTCGACAAATTTCGCAAAATAGAGATAGTTGGAAATCATTTGTTGTATCCTTAAGCTCCTAATGGAGTATGGAATAAAATAATAATAATTGTTTTTAAACCATATATATATATGGGTAATATAAGGCATATACCATACATAAATACGGTGTTTTTGCATTCATAATCGTTATAAATTAGTAGGGGACGAAAATAAATGGTGTAGTTTTGATATAAATGGTTGCAGTTCTTGACCATTTATATGCTCCATTCAACAGTATTTAAGCTTGTTAAACTGTACTTGTTAATAGTACATGCATTCCTACAAGGAATTCAATATTAGACAATGAAAGATAAGAAAATGATGGTGAGAGGTTGTCTTACCTAGGCTTATACATCAAGTTTGTCCTTTATTATATATGAACATTTTATTTTGTATTGTTTCTTGTTGTTGTATGACCTAAAGAGATCTGCTGCTTTCGTCCCTATTAATAGGAGCAGGATGTGGCCGCTTCAAGATACGTAGTGTTTCTTCTGGCGTCCTAATGATGATTGGAGTATAATGATTTAAGTTCACTTCTGTTATTATACAAAACAATATGTTTTATCGGAGTCGTGCTTGTTTCTAGTTCTGAATTTTGTATCTGCAAGTAATCACAAGCTCAATAAGTATTTTGTTTATCCACTTTCCATTTTTTTGAGAGGAATTTGTTTTAACTTTTCGCAAACTAAAATAAAGTACACATATAGATCTAACAACTTCGAATAGTTAACACTAATTGTATTTTTTTTTTCAAGTTCTGGGATGATGCAAAAGAGTCCACAGATCCGTTAAAATTCATTTATGAAGATTTGGCGATAGCGGCTTATTTAATTACATATTGGCAAACAAACAACGCAGAAGCAGAGACTGTTTTCGCAGATTTAGGCTGCGGTAATGGTTTATTAGTTTATATACTTAATGAAGAAGGCTATGACGGTTTTGGCTATGATATACGATCAAGAAAACTTTGGTCCTTGTATCCAAGTACTACAAAATTAATTGAGCAAGCAATACACCCAGATGATTTCAATCTGCCGGTAGGAGTCAACTGGGTGATTGGTAATCATTCGGATGAATTATCACCCTGGTTACCGGTATTAGCAGCAATAGGAAGTTACAATATGAATTACTTTCTTTTACCATGTTGTGCCTATGAATTTTCTGGAGAAAAGTATCAACGAAGAAACTCAAATATAAGTGTCTATCAAGATTTTATGAACTACGTGCGTGACATATCCCAGAAAAGCGGTTTTATTACAATACAAGATCGTTTAAAGATTCCAAGCACAAAAAGGCTTGTTTTGATGGGTACAGAACGCATATACAGTGTGGATCAATATGACAGAAAGGTAAAGGAGCTTTTAGAATTTGTGGCAATTGAAAGGAATTTACATAGCATTGGGAACCGTGACGACGAAATAAAACTACGTGAAAAATCAATTGCTGTAAGAAATTGTACTAAAATAGATCGATGCATTATTGATGATTTAGTGAAAAAAATTTTCTTATTACTATTGGAAATTAACAATAATAACTTAAATAAAGACATTAGTTTGATATGGCATCATGGTGGGCAGTTAACCATGCGTGCACTGGCTGAAAAGCTTACGAAAGAAGACTTAAAACGTATCAAATCAGAATGCGGAGGCATAAAAACATTGTTGAGAAATAAACATGAGATTTTTGAATTTCGCGGCAATGATTTAATTGGTATTCGCAAACCGCAAGTGCTTCAAAAGGTTCCAAATAAACAACAAACGTACAAAAAACGTTTATGCTTCTTTAAAACGAACCACCCACAAGGCTGTCCGCTAAACGACAACGACTGTACATTTCTACATTGACATAAAAAACAACAATTTTTATACGCAATTGTATATTTGAATAAAAATGGAAATTTTATTTTATTACATTTGTGTCTTGATTAATTTTTTAAATTTTAGAATATAACAATCTACGTACAGTACTCGCAAAAGTTTTAAATATCGTTGATCACTTCTGAATAATATTAATACATTAAAGAAGAGTGATCTGCTAAATCAAGAGATATTTATAAAAACGATCGTTCAAATTACACATTATACATGTCTTATGTAATAACATAAAACGATATAATCAGATTTTTAATTTATTAACTTTGATGCGCGCTCGCAATGTTTAACGCGAGCTGCTAGAACTGTTGCTGCGGCGGCGTCTGCGTATTGGAGAACGTGAACGTCGTCTTGGTGAACGACGACGAATAGGAGAACGGCGTCTATTGTTAAAGCGATTAAATGGTAGTGGAGAGCGCCAGCGACCCATTGGACGCCGTATTGGGGATGGACGTCTCATCATAGGACGTATTTTTGGTGTAAACACGGGTGAAACGCTCACTTCCTGTCCATCAATTTGACCACCATCCATTTGCTTCATGGCCTGTTCGCATTCTTCGGGGGTTGCAAATTCAACATAAGCAATACCACGTCCAAGCGCCGAATGGAAGCGTTCAGTCGGAAATTCAACATTTTTTACCTCTCCAAAACAGCTAAATATCTCTTGTACATGTTCTTTGGTAACATTCCGACTCAATCGACCAACATGTATACGTACAGGTTTTGGAGTAGGTGAACGTTCGCGACGTTTTGCTTGAGGACTACGTTCACCCGAGCTGCGATTACGCCTTCTTGGTGAACGGGATGCAGGAGAGCGAGATCGAGAACGGCGTTTATTGCCATCTCCTGTCGCACGCTCTTTGCTTTGAGACCGTGTGCGTATAACGCCACCACCGCGATCATTAGAAGCCCGTCGCAAACGATCGCGTGATCTAGAACGACTGTGACTACGTGCGCGATTATTGCGATCACGTTCTTTTGATACTTTATTACGAGGAGATTTCGAAGCGCGCCTTGGAGAACGTGATAAACTTTTACGAGTAGTTGCACCACCACGGCGGCGTATTTTTTCACTACGTTCCGAGTCACTTGACGAACTGCTAGATGAGGAGGAACTGCTCGAAGAACTACTAGAACTTGACCGTGAACCAGAGTCTGAACTGCTGCGAGACGTGCTGCTATCAGATGAGCTATAAAAAAAAAAAATTTTAAATACATATTATAGAAGAAAATAATGCTGCATTTAAACTATATCACGCACCTGGCACTACTATCGCTGCTTGATGAAACTGAACCTCTGCGTCGACGTTCACGTTCTCTACCACGACTCGAATTAGACGAATATGGCTTCACCTCACTTGTCGAAGTAACTTTACTTAAAGCATCTTTCACACCTTCCTTAGTTTCTTTATTGTCTTTTTCAACATCGGCGGCAGATGGCGATCTATCGCGGACCCTGAAAATTTAATAAAGAAGTTACACGACCAACCGCAAAATAGTAAACACTTTTATTTTCACTTACATATTTAAAACTAATGCGATACTGTTTGCAGTATAAAATAGATGTATACTTTAAAAATAAATGGACAAATTTAAGTATTCGAACTCCCGAAATATGATAATGACTAAATACACTCTAGAAATAACTACTTGCTTTATAGCTTAACGCGCTTAATTGACATTTTCCTTACCGGTGCATAGGAAAGCGAGACAAGAAATAGTCGATGAATTATCTACCCAAACAATAGTGCTGCCAGATGGTAGAAAAGGACAAAGAAAAAAATACAAAATATACTATCGAGAATGGTGTAATATACCAACAAACTTTATACATTATAAGTTAATACTGAGTAATACAAATATATAAGAATTTTTTAATTTTATGCGCGTTTTTAATTAGTATCAATCTTCAATATTGTACATAAATTTATGGTACATATCCCCTCATGAATTAAATTTAAATAATTTTTACTATTTAATATTAGTGTTTTAAATTAATTAATTACATAACATTACATAACATAACACTTTGTTGTCAAATTGCTTGTTTAAATTAATAATGTAATAAATTTAAATTAATAGTTTGATTGCGATAATTAATATTAAAATATGGTGTATTTTAAGGTAAAATTAAGCATAAAAAAGTTTTTAGGTAAAATGCTAAAATAATCTTACAATAATTATAATAAAATTTTAAAAATTCTTAATTTTGATAATATATCTTTTATTATTTTTAAAGAGTAAATTACTTTAAGCGAGTGTGCTGAGCTTTGATGTTAACAATTCTATATAGAATATAATTTGTATGAATACCGAAAAAATCCAATCATATATAGAGATAAACAAGCAACACTATCAATATATCAAAATATTTTGATTTTCATTAATCTGTTTAATTATCTGCCCATCAATCTGTTCAAGTATATAAATATTCTAACCATCAATTCGCTATCATACATGAGACTTGGTTGAAATATTACATTTTGGCGCACCCGTTTAATTCCTTTTTATGACTTCTTCCTTCTCATTTGTTTAGCCTTGCCACATAGTTTTCTTTATTTATAAAAATTTTACAAAATTATTTCATATTAAGTCTGTTTCACGAGTTATTCGTAGAAAACCTCAAGTAAAACACTAGGAAAATTTACACGAAAATACACGAAAATTTGCTGGTGGAACGCACTTGTGTATACACAGTGTTATATTTAAAGGTACTACGAGTAGCTCGTGGAACAGACCAATAAAAACTATGTTCAGACAGTCAAATTTCCTTAATTTCGTAAAAATGAAGTTAAGTTAATTTCGTAAGTGTTCATAGTGCCCTAAATTAAACAAATCATATGTTTTACAAATCGAATGTTAAAAATTACATGATCGAAACATCATTTGTGTCTGGGAAATTTTAAAAATAGATTATTATGGCAATAAAAGATGACATTCAGTAGTTTTATTAGCTTTTGGAGATTTCTGATATCTGAATTATTTTTTTTCATTATATTTTAAATAAATAACAGTTACAGTTTTTTCTCTATATTCAAATTTAATAATTTGCACTACTTCCAAAATATTTCCCAGTTGACTTTTATTGAAGTCAACTGTCATTGACATTTATTTAAAAAAAATCCTTGTTTCGTTATCTCAACTTTATCTTTTGCTTAAAATTTATAATACGCATAGTTGCATTCGAAATGTCCCTTAATTAAGAGTTTTCGTTTCAACGAAATTAAGGTAATTTTCTTTGATTTCGTTCTAACCTCAAAACTGAATTTTGTATAGAAAAAACTTAATTTCGTTAAAACGAAGATGAAATTAAGATTTTTGCGAAATTAAAGTGTTTCTGAACTTAGTGTAATAGTTTAATTCTGAATTCAACATATGCAATTTCAACACTTATAACATTTTGAATCATTGAAAAAGTCATTCAAATTACAAATTGTTTTAGCATTCGAATTTCGACAAGTGATAGAAATATTGCTTATTTATTTAATAATTTTCATATACACTGTACTGATCAGCTGTTTTTACTTCAACAATATAAGTATTGTTGAAGTATTATTATATAATTATATTTTTAGTGCTGTTCGTTATCGGATTTACCAAAGTATAAGGAAATCCGATTAATCCGATTTCAGCGAAGTTTCCAGACTTGAAAATAAAATCGGATTTCTTGTAAAATCGGAGTCGTACATCACACAAGTTGATGGAGGGGTGATAGATTTTGGTTTGTTTATACGTTTTTGTGTTATAAAAATTATATTAATAAAAATTTTAAATATAATATAAAATACATATGTAAAAATTTGATAATATAAATATTTGTACATTTTATTAGTAATGGGAATTTTATAAAAGTTTTCATTTTACAAAAAGTCCGATTTTATTTTCAACTCCGGAGGTTTCGTTAATATCCGATTAATCGAATAATCGAAGAACTTCGGTTTTTAAAAAAGTCCGAATTATATGAACAGCACAAATATGTATAAGTATTTTTGTACAGTATGAAAATATATTTATTTTTGTTTTAATTATTGAGTCGTTACTTCGAAAATGTTTAAATGCGGTTATTTTTGTTTTTTAAAATATACTAACTTTTATTTCGAAAGTTTTTTTGTGTATCTCTACACGTGTTTCGGCAAATTCACTTTAGCCTTCATCAGGAGAATTCCTAATATTAAAACATCTAGCAATCTTACAAACTATTTATACCATAAACATGTTATTTTTAATACTAAGCTTAATATTAATAAATCCTAAGGTTATTGTCCTTGGGGGTGACAGGTAAGAAATGGTGGCGGGATTGGTCTGGTGTTGTTTTTTTTATTTTTACATACAGGTAGTTAGGTTGACTGGTTGTCGGTTTTTTGGGATGTATCTAAAAAGGCACGATGACACGTTGCCTTTGTCGCCGTTGAGTAAAGTTGTGATATGATGTTTGTGTATTTCGATGCTTTCTGCCGTTTCTAATTTCCAGCTATCCCTTACATTTTTGATTATTTGGGCGTTATCCCTGTTGATGTGGTGATTTTCTTTTACTATATGTCTGGCGACATTTGATTTTATGTGGGGGTTCATTTTCTTCGGTGCTTCTCTTGCTTCCTTCAGGTGTTCTTCAAGTCTTACTGATAAGGGTCTTTTGGTTTGTCCGATGTATACTTTGTTGCAGGAGCCACACTCTATTTTGTATACTCCGCATTTTTCGAATGGGTCAATTGGGTCTTTTGCGGATGGTAAAAGGCATTCAAGTTGGTGTGGTCTACTAGAGTGAACTAAGTCGATATTGAACTTTTTTAACTTGGATTTTAGACCTTTGGAGACAGTGTTATTGTATACTACAGCGACTCTTCTTTGTTTTGGTTTTTCTGCTGTCAATGTCGTCATGTTCCTGGAATGTAGTTGCCTTCGTTTCTTTTTTATGATTCTATCGATGGTGTTTTGAGGGTATCCGTTTATGTCCGCTATTTCTTTAATGTATGTGGTTTCTTCATTGATGGTGTGGATTAATGGTTAATTGTGTGCAAACAATAGATAATGAAAGAAACCCAAATTCTGAAATGAATGAGATTCCTAGAATAAGTTAAAATAAACTTTTGCAATTATGCTTTTTACTGTAACACCTGCACAATCATAAACTATTATTACAGTTTATTAATTTAAGAACATTTCTATCCTAATTATAAAAATAAATACGAGCTTTGGAGAGGAGCTCATATTTTAGTTGAAACATTAATAATTTCAATTAATAAATAAGATATTCAATTTGTTTTATAGTATATAAGAAAATAATAAATTATGTACATATTTATATATTAAAAGAAATAAATAAAATTAAAATTTTCTATTATTTAATTATAAAGTATTCATTATATTCATTTCTGATAATTTGTGCAGTAGACAAATATTGCGATTTTTACATTTAAATCAACATTTAATACGCACTTCTTTTCTTTGTTTTGCTCATTTTCGCATTTTCGTCATTAAAAAGTGCCATGGTTGCCAAAATTCAACAAAACAAATTTGAAACAGCTGTCTCCCAAGCAATTCAGAATAAGGAAGTTCTACTCTTGGGAATAGCGTGGGAATAGGGAGACTTATTCCCTGGGAGTATTCAGAATTGCTATGATTTTCTTTATGATTCCTTGGCGCTCTTTTGAATCCAAGTAATTAAGGAGTTTTTATAAAGTAACAACTAAACAGTTAGTTTTAACATTAATGGAATATATTTTATATTAAGTAAATGCAGTATTAGTTCAACTTTTTTATATTTAAACACAAGTTTTGTATGTGGTGTGTAAAACAAATTTTTTATATATAGAATAATACTTCTTTTGTTACATTAACCTCGCTTATGAATTTTTAATAATGGATACTTGATTAGTCGCAAACTTATAGTGGTTTCATATTCTAAATCCTCGTACTTAAAATCAGTAGTCAAACGGAAATTTCTTATTGTATGCAAAAGCATTACTTTTGTGGCTAAAATAGCAAAGTTTCTACCTGCAAAGATAAGACAAATAGATCAGTTAAATAATTTTGATATTTATTAATAGTAGTTGATTTATACACCTCTTAATCATGCTTAAATGTTAAACAGAAATAATGATTTTAAACAATATGTAGAGTTTTTTAAACTTCTGCGTACATACCTAAACAGTTTCGTAAACCTTTGGCAAATGGCAAATATGAATAAACGTGCCTCTGTTTTATATTTTCAGGCAAAAAGTTATCTGGATTAAATGTGTTTGCATTCGCACCCCAAACATTTTCATTTCGATGTGCTTGAAATATATTTATTAATATTATTAAATCTTTTGGTAACATAATGTCATCAGTTAACTGCGTATCTTCTACTACACCCCGTGCTACCACTGGCACAGATGGAGCCAATCGTAAAGTTTCTTTGATCACCATATCAAGATAAACGCAATTATCCAACTTTTCAAAAGACACATTAAAATTTTTTTCAGGAAAAACAGTTTTGATTTCATAAAAAACATTTTCTTCCACTTCAGGATGCATAGCCAAAAAGAGTAATGAAAAATATTGCAGAGTTGCTGTAGTATCAAATGCCTTAAACGAAATTAATAAATTAAAATATCGTTCATATACATAATAATCATTAATCCATATACAACTTATAGAACCGAGAAGTCGATCAAACAAATATTCAACTGCAAAAAGTTGAATAAGAACAAATAAAAATCATTCAAATTCATATATCATTTATTTGAAAAAGTTGATAAAAATTTATATAATTTTATGGAATGTATATTTGAGTCAAGTTTTAGTTTAATATCTTTTCGATTCTACGTATTATATGGCATGTCGTTACCATGTTTACAATAGGTTTGTTCCACAAGCTACTCGTAGTAACTTTGAGTAACTCTGTGTATACACAAGTGCGTTCCACCAGCAAATTTTCGAGTAAATGACAGCATCTGAGAGAGCGTAACATCCCTGTTGAAATTTGAAATGCTACACAAAGTTTACTTGTACACTTTATTTTAAGTAAAATTTTTATTGATGTGTGAGCTGTTTTGGCTTGAATTCAAATTTTTGTATTGTTTATTTGCGCGGCACTAGTGTTCTCGCCAGACTTTACAGAAAGCTGTTCCATGAAAATCTGTGTAAAGAGCATAATTTGGCACTTTATTTGTGCTACGCTCTCATTTTGTACTTTACATGTGTTTTACTTAAGTTTTACTACGAGTAGCTTGTGCAACAGACCTAATATCTACTTACACCAAACATAATAGAATTTGATTCATCTAGCATGTCTTGCCAATTAATTCTTTTCCGCACATAACTTTTAAATATTTGATCAATGAATATATTACGTTCATAACTTAAATAAATATCATCGACGGGTGCCTTATTTTCATTGTTATTCGTATTTTGTAAGACAAGCATACGCTTTTTTAGTAACTGAAAGGAATATGCGGCGAATATGCGAGATTTTTAAAAATATATTGTGACTGAAATTTAAAAGTTTCGCAAACGACTTACCTTATCAACGAAGTCAAATACAAATTTTCGAGATTTGTATACATTAAATATTTTCACAAAGCTACTTAGCTTCAGTGCGTTTAAAAAAACCATCACGATGGTAGACTTCATAACTCTGAAGACAAAAATATATATAAATGAGTAAAATAAATGTAACATGTTATGATAATAATAGAAACGTAAGAAAAACTTTATAAAAAACAAATATAAATGAATAAGTCTACCTAATTATATTATATTATATCGAACAATAACAATTATTTACCGCGTATAATGTTTTAAGATATTATCGTCCACTTTTAAGTCATTTTCTTCATGATAATTAAGACCCAACATAGTTTCTATAGAAAAAATATATGATATGGTATTAATTATTATATGGAGTAGAAATGTTTTATTAAAATAGTTGCAAAAGATAATAATTAATTAGGTTATCAAGGGTTTTTGGGGGTTTAAAAATATTTTTCAAAGTAATTGAAAAGTTAATTGTTTTCATTTAAAAACTTCTAATAATAATATGAAGTAAATAATATATTTTATATATTATGAGAATTATATTGTGACGGTCATAGATACGGTATAAATAAAATTTGTCCAAGAAGTAAGATATTAATTAATATAATAAAATATATTTAATAAAATAGTTAACACGTTTTTTTAATTATTACTGAATTTAGGTGGTTAATTTAACACATATAAATTAAAAATGTTTTTTTTTTTTTAAATTAAAATCTACTCTTATAAATTTGTGTTAAATATTTAACATTAATTTTAATTTTTTATAAAAATTAATTAATATAAAAATTAAATAATAAATAATTAAAAATTAATATAAAAATAGTTTTATTTTATTTAGATTACATTAATTTTTAATAAATACAAAACGTTACAAAAGCAAATCATCACGTATCAATACACTAAACCTTAGTTCATTAAATCTCAGTTGGTAACCGTGTGAGTGCCCAATTTTTATTTTTTCTGGGTTAGGTTGTGAATAGAAACTGTCAAAACAGCTGATTGTGATTTTGTTTGTTTTGTCATATAAATATGCGAGAAAAAAATTTGATTGAAGTAAAAATTGTTTTTTACAAATTATATTTTATAAATTTTTATTGTAAAGTTATTAATAAAGCTCATAAACTTTAAATTTCAAATTAATTTCAAGTTTTGTGTAACACTTCACAATAATAACAATCAGCTGATGTTTTATCGTATACATAAAAAATGACAAGACATGATCGTTAACTTGGTAATGTTGGAATTTCAGAAATACAAATACACATGAAATTGTATCACTTTACAGAATTACTGAGTATGTCTATATACTCGAAATTACTTTATTCACATGTTCACAGCAATGATGATAAACCAAGTAAGCAAATATTTCATTTTGTTTTATTAAAAGTCCAGTATATTTTTTTTAACGATTATTCACTAACAAAATTATCTCTATTAAGGTCATGGATCTATCTGATTTCTATTGAAATAAAATGAAAAACGGTAAATTAGAAAATTAACAAAAAAAAAACTTTATAAATAACATTTATTATATATAAATTAACGTCATGTGAAGTAAGTAAAATATGTTTTATTTGGAACAATTAAAAATAAAATTCCTTAAAATGTTTAAAATTTATGTCTCAAACATCGTGCCTTCGCAAAAGCCACCCTACGGCACTGAACAGTGAAATACTTACACAAAGAATACCTTAAATACCTTAAAGGTATTTTTTGCACTTACGTTTGCTGGCATGTTATTGTGAATACTATTGTGAATATATACTTTTAGACCGTACGGTCATTTATCAATGTACAAAACCTGATTAAAAAAATTGTTCCGCTTTCCGCTTAGAAAAATTTGAAAAAGTTTATTAATCAAATTTTACTTACCCATGCCATTTGTTAACATTAGTTTACGCAGCATTTCATTTAGATTATCTGCACTTTTGCCGTCTAACTGCTCCAATTGTTTAACGAATTCTTTAGAGTTTTTGTTAAATTCTGCTAAAAAGTTGCGTAAAATAGGCTTTCGAAACGCCGGATCAATAAGTTTGCGATGTAGACGCCATTTATCACTTTTAGATGTTATTAACCCATCACCAAAAAGATATCCAAGAGGTTCGTATAAGATGTTTGGCTTATTATACAATTTAGATGAAGTGAACACTTTTTGAAATAAATTGGGATCGACAGTATAAAGCGTCGGTTGCGGTCCGAAGTATGTAAAAATCGTCTCCGTTTTATAAATTTCCAATACCATTTTCAGTTTAAGCAGAAGCACTTAGTATTTTATTAAAGCAAATTCAAAAAAAAAAGTTAAAAAATGAATAAATTATTTTTACATTCTTACTTACAACTCGGTTTATACACATGAAAAAATATACCAATAATTGGGAATTCCAATGGTCCAGGAAAGAGACGAGAAAGCTTATAGAAGCGTCTTCTACGCCAAAATAAAAATATTACTGTCAATATTAGAATAATGTATATTTTTGCTAATGTAGTATTAGGATCTGAAAAGCTTGCGTTCGATGTATCCATTGTGACTAATTTTTATTGAATAAAATTTAAAAATGTTAATTTCGCCTTAGGTACAAAAATCATCTCAAAGTACAAAAGTATCGAAATCTGAGATCTATTGACGTAGTACTCGGAACTGGTTTCCTTTCAGAATATTTTTTGTAAATTTGGTTTTTGCAACTTTGGATTCTAAACAATCACAAATTCTTACAATGCTTGTTATTATTCGGGAATTTTTGTTGTGTGTTAACCAAAATAAAAAACAAAAAAAAATCACCATATATAATTTGTTGTTTTTTATTTTATTATTTTAGCTGGATTGACACAAAAACGTGTTAAAATTTTTTTAGATGTTAAGATCTTATTAATTAAATAAATGGGAACATTTTCTTTATTGATTAAATTAAATACAAATGAAGAATGTTGTATTTGTAATCACTTTTTTTATAGCTAAATTTTATAATTTATTATAGTTTTAATAGAAACTTGTTATATTTACATAAAGATTTATGATAAAGGTTTATGATTTCGTTCTAATATATAAATACAGCAAGTAAAATTGTTAATAACAAAAACTCCAGCAAAAATATGCGAACAAAAAAAGTCAAGTACGGCTTTGGATCAGTTGGTTAAGGTGCGCTGATTCTGAGCTTCACATTTGGCAGGACCCGAGTTCGATTCCTGGTACTTGCAGTCTCAAAAATAATTATTTACGAATAATTAAATACAAGAATTATTTCCAAGACCACTGATGATGGGTATTTGGCAATACTCGAAACAGCTGTATGGTCAGCCAAAAATTCAATTAATTAAAATAATTTAAAAAATAAATTTTTGTTGTTGTTTCACTTCTGTTCGAAAACCTCTTTATAATTTATTATATTTAGAAGCTGAAAGGGATATATTTGCTTGTAAAAAATATTTCAGTTAAATAAATTCGACTCTTATGGAATTAATGCAGTATAAATAAATTAGTTTTCCTTGAATATTAGTAACTTTTAGTAAGTAGATGAATACTAGAAGTATAAAAAACGATTTATTACTTTGGTTTCCAGGCTGTGATAATCTCTAATAATGTCAGACACATTTTAACAGTACTAATAGAGCATGAAAAACCGTTCCCGATTCTACATAGATCATTCTATGACTTTTTATTAAAGATACAAAACCTTGTTCCTTGTTAATTTGTGACGGGTCTATATTTGGCACACTTTAATAAATGATTTAATGTTGATGTTGGAAAGCAAATGTAAGGGCAAAAAAATCTACCAGACCTTGGAAATTAGATAACTGGAATATTGTCGCTAATATATTCTTTGGAGTTGAAGGTAAGGTTATTTATTAAAGATCATTAAAGATACAGATTTTTCAACAAATAGAAAAGAAAAAGATGCAAACATAATTTAAACATTTATTATTACTGAAATTATTATCAGCATTTTGGTTTTGTTAAAAATGTGTACTTGGCTAATCGGCATAATTGAATACATTAAATATAATATATAAAAGCAATGTTCGACATTTTCTAAGACCACTGATGATGAGTACTTTGCAATACTCGAAACAGCGTTGTATGGTCAGCCAAATTTTAATAAATGAAATAAATTTTTGCCCTTGTCTTTTATTTGCTATTCGAATCCGTCTAACTTTTAAAAACTACTTAAATTGAGGCATTATTGAAAGCATTTGGTTCTCCAGTTTTTATTCTTCATATAGTATCACAAAGGTCTTTTCTTTAAAGACTATTATTGTAATAATAATTATAATAATATTATTAACAGGATAATAGTAGAATTATATTATTAAGATAGTAGCTTATTACAGCAGTCATTTTTTTGTCAATTATAAGTAATAAACGCTTTGAATTATAAACAAAATAAAAACCAACAAGCTTTCAAATGTAATAATGTTATGGGGTAATAATACCCCACAACTCATAGAGAATTTATCCAAATGATTTGCGTAGTACAATTATTGGTAGTTCATTAAATATCCTACAAATGTATATATAAAATATTCTTAATTGAAAAGTTCTAAAAAAAATATAAGAGCATCTTTTTTTTAGTTGATTCTATATATTTTAATATAGTTTCCTTCCAGTTCGATATGATATCTTAACTGAACTATATCAAATAATATAGTTCTCTTTAACTCTTCAACATAAGCCACTGTTCCTCCGAATAGCTACTCTCGTAGTAAATCTGTTTGCTTCCAACATTTTATTAAGGTTTGGAACAAGTCTCTGGGGACTAAATTTAGCAAATAAAACCTGAACTTATTCTATATAAATAGAATTTTCTATAGTTATACTTGGAACAGAAATAAGTAAAAAAAATATGTATTGATTGCTTTGTTAAGTATCTTAATGAGATAATGTTATCTCACATATCATGGATGAGATATATTTCTTTTCCATAATCCATTCTCAAACCGAAATGTTAGGTGGGCAAACATTTTGGCTCTTTTATCAAAAATGGAGCTCTTATACCTACTTCTGCTATGCTCGTTAGACTTACAAGTCATAGTTTGGTTTGTAGTGTGGTTCGCTTTGTAGATGTCGGCGACGCGTAGCTTTGTAGTTATTATAAAAGCTAAGTGCACCTAAAACTTCAGAAACATTATCTAGTAATGTTGTAGTTAAGAGTGTGAAAAAGCTTCCCGATCTGATAAAAAAAACTCAGGAAACAAACAAGTCGAAGAGAGCAAGCAAACAAAATCGTAGTAAATTAATTGAAGAGCTAAAAAGCTTAGCGTTCAAATTTTAGTTTTCGATGAACTATCGCTGGAGTAACAATAAGAATAACAAGAACAACAATAACTCAGTAAATGTATATAATTTATATAATTTAAATAATTTGAATTATTAATTAATTGTTGAGTTGAATTATTTACAAAGTTTAATGTAAGTAAAGATCTGTGTTTCAAATAATTAAGAATTAGTGTTTCTATTTATTTTTTAATCGCATCTACGTATATGAGTAATAATATATGAAAATGTAATGAACATTTGCCTACATGTATATAATAGTAAACAAATTAAAAAAAATTCTAATTATAATCTTAACACTTAAAAATTTATTATTCAAAACAAAGAAAGCAGCAATTTACTAGAAAATTATTTTATCAGTGGAAATTCGTTTGATACGAGAACATAACGCCAGTTATCTTCACACTCAATTATATTTAAATAATAAATATGTATTTACCAAGACTACAAGTTTCGAAATATCAGGTTTAATAAATTGAAAACTAAACAAGAATGATACTCCATATGTTTTATTTAATAGCCCCGATAAACAAAAATATAGATGAAGACGTATATAGATGGGGATTAGTGTGGGGAAACTAAGTCCATTTTTCGTTGGAATTCGATTGACAGTCATTTTCAATTCTTGCGTGTTATTGTATTATATAAGTTTTTATAAATATACTTTTGGTTTAGCCTAGCTGTCTTATGAATCACAACTATATCAACATGTAAACCATATATACCAGCATGGTTTACAAACTCATTGCACTGTGATTGCTAGAGTATTGAAGAGTTGGATCAACATTATCACTAAATACTAGAACATGGGCTAAGTTGAGTCTTTAAAAGAGGATGAGGATATCAAATATAGATAGATAGACAAATAGGTATGATATTTAAAGAGAATTATTATACTATTATTTTTGTTATAATAGCTTTTAAATTAACTTTGAAAAAAATGTATTCGTATAAATTTAATTACATATCTTGTACATGTAACTACAGACGTGTCCCCCAACAACTATTATAGATTCGATTTTTAATAATTAAATTTTTTGTTATTATTTTTATTTGTTTGTTCTTAAAATTTGCAAACAAAAATTTGTCAGTTTAGACAAAAAATAAATATTGGAATATATATATAAAGACAACAAACATATTAAGTACAGTTAGAGTTCGAGTTATAGGAAGTACACTACCGAGATTTGACAAAGAAGATAGGGTAAATACAATAAGGGTAAATAAACTCATAAGTATTATATATCTTTAAGAGCTTAAATAATAATAATACATGAATAAATAAACTAACGGAATTGCTGGCTGAATTGGACACAACTATTAATATCTCCAATGGTTCAAAAAAAAAAGAATAGGTACCCTGTGTGACTCTCGTGTCATATATTTTCAATATACATAATTTTCAAGTGTGTCTGCTGGATATTGTTAATAGAGGATTTAAATATTTGTTCGTAATAAAAAATTGATACTTAAAATTTAGTTTCGCTTATGTTAGGGAGCGGCTGATATGTGGTAAAATCCTTAATCCTTAATTCCTCAAATCCTTAATTTGTTAAAAAAATAGGAATGTATGTTATCAGACACAGCGTTAAGAGATGGAATATTTTAATGAAGCCTTTTGATATTATGCGTCTTTCAAATTTTCTTAAAAAAATGTTATAGACAGATCAGTAGACGAATATTCACATATATGTTTCACACACTTGTAAAGTTAAATGGATTAGTGAATAGACAAAAAGACATAGATAAATAGACACATAAACAGGTCAAAGATTTGAATGGTGAAGGATACAGAGTTCTTAGGGTATTTGAACTGTGTTCCAATTCAATTTCTTTATATTTCAACCATAGTAGCATATTATTGACTATAATCCATTTTTTCTTAACCAAAACTAAGTAAATAACAACCAAAGATACTTTACATACGTTTGTAACTCCATTTCTGAAGAAATGGTTTGTTTTAAATGTGTACATTATTATGCCATACAGCTATGATGCCATAAGCTTAATGAATAGAAGAAACTTTCTCAAAGTCCACACAACGAGATCAACTTATTAAAACAACAGATTAAAGCAGCTTTGTTACATTATCTACTGAAGATACCGGTAACAATGTTAATTTTTTATTAGGAAAGTAGTGAATATTAGTGTTTTTAATGTTTGACTTATATATTCCTTCAAATTTACCGGCATGACATCTTTTTTGGACGCATGCCTTCCCATCGAAAGGTAATTTATGATTTCAAATTTAAAG